CTGTTCTAGTGGATTTTCGTGCCTATAAATAGGAGGCTCGTGAATAGTGTTAGGACATGAAAATTTAGTCTTTGAACAATCCCTCTGAAATCTAGACGCTTCTCTTTCTTTTTGGTTGTATTTCTTGAGATTTGTGAGGTATTTTGAAGTGTGAAAGGTAGCCAAAAAGCACCTTAAATTTACTACATTGGAAGTATCTATAAAAGCTCGTTTTAAGTGATATCTTTCTTTACTATCTATCCCTTATGTTATAAACAAAAGTAATCATGTAGGTGTTTTAGAGCAAATCGTGTAAATATGTAAATAATTATCAATAAAAGGGAACCTAGTTTTTAAATTATTGTTTGCAATCACATTAATTTCATTATAAGGTACCGATTCAAGGCGTTATAGGGTGCCTAACACCTTCCCTTCACATAATCGACCCTTGAATCAAATTCTGGTTGTAAAGGTCGTTTTGGTATTTTAAAATTTTCCTATTCTTTTTCCGATGTTTTGAATAAAACATCGGTGGTAACTCCATAAACTCTTTTTAAAATCATCAGTTGGGAATTAGTTTGGTGTCAAGGCATTTCCTAATTAATGAAAATTTAAAATGGAAGTCTAAATCATCTGTAGGTCAGATCGAAATTTTTTGGGTTCCAACAACATGCACAAGAAACAATATCAAAATAAAAAATTACAAATTAACTACAATTTATAACTGAGACCAAAATGACTCACTAGAACAAATTAAAGATAATATATCACAACATGGTACTAATAAAAGTCAAATAAACAAAAAACATGCATAGAAAGGTACATAAATATTTGTCTTTCATACCTAAACTTATGTATCCTCTTTGGGAGAGATACCTATAAACACTCAAACCTTTGTTTGTTGTAAGCCTTAAGAGGCTAATTAAAAAATATTGCAACATGTTGTATCTTGGCCAAGAGTGACACATAAAATACTTATTGTAGTCATAAGTGATAATGAGAATACTTCTTGTAAAAAGGTTTTCAAGTTAATGAAACGTTTTGAGTTCAAAGGTGATTGGATGTGATTCAAATTGAGTGAGACAAAAATAATTAATGATGATACAATTATCAAAATATATTTATTTTATGACGATTAATTAACAAATAATATAAACTTAATCAAAATAATAAAAAAAATTTATGATTAAAATACATTTATAGTGTGAGTTATTTTATTTTTTTTAGTCCTTATAACTTAAAATAAATTTTTAAATTTTTATATATATTTTTTTTTAATTTGTACGGGTAGGGGCGTTCAGCCACCCTCTTATCGGCCGCCGAATGGCCGAACCAGGTGGCCGATTGCCAATCGGTCACCTGGATCGGCTTATCTTTATTAATTATCTTTAATAAATGATTAAGGGTTAATTAGCTGATTAAGAAGTATTACCTAATACGGTAAGTATGTTACAGAGCCCATAAGGTCCAGGGCCCACGATTGTCAGTATAAATAGCTCAGGTCAAAAGGTAACGTCACTGTTCATTAATTACTCTAGATTTCCGTGCTTGTGCTGACTTGAGCATCGGAGTGCCTTTTGCAGGTACAAACCCGTCTACTCACGTTGGATCGGAATACTCGTTCAGAACACTCGTTCGGCCTTCAGAATACAAGAAGATCATTGGTGTATCCTTATACAGGTACATTTGGCGCCCACCGTGGGGCCGAACGAAGCTAATTGGAAGTTTAACTAAGAAGAACAATGTCGGTAACTCGGAGAACAAACACTCAGGATCGTCCCAATGAAGAGCATGTTGAAGTCGTTGATGAAACCGATCTTTCTGAAATGGTGCGATTGTTGAAGCAAGAAATGGAGTTGATGAAGCAGCAAAGAGAGAGAGATGCAAGGGAGCTTTTGGCCTTGAGAGCTGAGAATGAGGTGTTGAAAAGTCAAGATACTTCTTGGAAACCTACTCATGCCACCAACACACAAACTCAAGGGTCGTATCAATCTCACGCGATACATACTTCGGTTCCCCATGCTTCGGCAGCAGTCCCTGAGAAGTTCCCCTCGGCTTTACCAACTGTGGGTCGTCCTGCAGATATGATGACTGTTGGATCGCATCGACACCCTTTTACCCCCTCCATTATGCAACTCCCCTTAATGGATAATTGGAAAGCTTTACCTATTGATAAATACGATGGTACGACAGATCCTGATGAGCATTTGGATGTTTTTCTGACGCAGGTAACTCTGAGCACAACGGATGATGCTGCGTTGTGTAGGATCTTTCCTACGTCTCTCAAAGGCAGAGCCCTCAGTTGGTTCACTCGTCTTCCACCCAATTCAATCGACTCGTTCAACACATTGTCTTCACAATTCGCTATTCAATTTGCAACAAGTCGTCCTCATAATCTAACGTCTTTATCTTTGGTTGGTATTAGGCAGGACAAGAAGGAATCTTTGCGGGCATTTATGGATCGGTTTAACAAGGCTACTCTGGAAATTCGAGATCTTAACCCCGCTGTAGCATTGCATCACCTCACAACAGCTTTAAAACCGGGGCCGTTTGTCAATAGCATTTGTAAAAAGCCTCCTTTGGACATGAGTGATTTAAGGAGAAGGGCTGATAAGTATATGCAGATGGAAGAGTTGGCGGAATATCGTAATCAGGCCCGAGCTGAGTCTTCGAGCAAGGTAGAAAAGCAAGCAGAATAGTCATACAGGGGGAGAGGAAAGGAGATATCTCTTCGGGATCGGCCTAGTCGGGGTCCGAAGTACAATCAATATACTACCCTCAACACTAGCCGTTCGGAGGTACTTGAACAAGCTTTAGCTTCAGAAGTATTGACAATTCCAAAAAGAGCAGCTACACCACCACGTGCGGATACTAGTAAATCTTGTCGGTATCATCGCAATCGTGGACATTCTACTGATGAATATGCAGCCCTTAGAGACAGAATTGAAGATTTGATTAAGCAAGGCAAGTTGCATAATTTTGTGGATCGGACAGGGTCGTCGCAAACTCGCTCATATCAACCCAGGTATCAAGATCGGCGCAGACAAGACCGTTCCGATAGAGCCCCTCGTGAAAGAAGCAGGTCACGAGAAAGAAGTAGGTCGCGAGAAAGAAAGGATACCTCGGCACCATCACATAGGAGGGTGATCAATACTATTGCAGGAGGGTTTGCTGGTGGAGGCTCAACTTCATCGGCTCAAAAGAGGCATCTTAGAGCAATTCGATCGGTTAACGTTGTTCATAGACAGTCTTCACGGAGGTTACCAGCAATAACCTTCACCGATGCTGATTTCAAGGGTATTGATCCAGAGCAAGATGACCCGATGGTTATTAGCGTGGAAATTCACAATTGCATTGTCAAGAAAACATTGGTTGATCAGGGTAGTTCAGCAGACATATTATATTGGAATACTTTCAAGCAGTTGGCC